TTGCAGCCTGCCTGGCTTTACCAATGGCACACCCCCAATAACCCTAAAAGAAAAAAAAATAAAATGTGCAAATTAATTAAATATTAAATTTTCTACAGCTCTTACTGTCCCTTAGCATATGACAACCCCACCCTGCTCACATAGTGAGAGGCCAATACACAGTACTGGTGGTGTTCTCTCAGGGCACATCCCCAAATTGTTGAGTAGAACCCAATTTCTAAATCAAGTGCTACCTCTGTTGATAGAAAAGAGAAGTGCTCAGTAGTTCCTGGACAGAAACTTATCTGCTCAAAATTTTATAACAGATATTTTTTATTGCTATTACAGTAAATAGAAGAACCAGCTAGAATTAGTTTGAAGAGAGAAGTTCTACAGGAACTACAGATCAAAAAAAAACCCAACCTGAACCCAACCTACTGTGAAAACATATTTGAAGTGTAAGCACATAAAAATTAAGCACTTCTGTTTCCTTCAACAGCCCTGGTATGGATATATTTTAAGAAAATTTTAAAAAATCAAACAGTATGAGTGTGTCTCTTCCACTGTGTGACACACAGCTGAAAATGCAGCACTAACAACAATTAACAACAATTTCTATTTTGATTTGACTTGCTGTTGGCAGCCAGGGCCAGAGGAACAGCCCTCTCTTACCTGGAGCACTCAGGGAATGGGGTATCACTACAATACTTGCCTGTCTGGGGCAGTGCATGGGAGTTTTCACTGGATATAGCCAGCTGGAACGAACTTCAAAATTCTGAGAGACAAGTCTTAAACTTGTTTCTCAGATTGTACTTCTAAGAAGCACACAGAGTGTGTGTTTAACAAGGACATGCAAATGAGCAAACCCCAGCTCTGGTCATTTGAAGCAGTGATTCACCAGTGATCTTCCCAGGCAAAAAGAGAAAAAAATCAACAGCCCTTCTGGACCAACACTTACTATTTTCCTAATTAGGAATTTTTTAAAGGGGAATTTATGCCAAGATGGAAATATTTGTGACACACTCACGTATGAAACTCCTGATGGATCAATCATGTACAGTTGTGCACCATCATCACTGTCATAGGAGCCCAACATGAAACTGGAGGAGAAAAGAGAAATTAAAAATATTTCTTCTGCCAACACACCCAGAACTACAGAGACCACACCAGCTCGGGTTTCCTACACTGCTCCTGGGGCAAAACTCCTGCTACGCTCCATTGAGCATCTGTTGAGTGTTCTCATGACAATGAGTTGTCAGAAACATTTTACTGACCAGTAACTTGACCTCTGTTTATCAGTCCCTTTGTACTAGAGCCACATAGTAATTGTAACCTGCTCTTTAGGTATCAGGACAAAACCAGGATGATTGCAGAGGAAAGTTCTGCTTTTGCCACTGTCACAGACTTAATAGCACAAACTCTTCAACTTTAAAACCCAGGAACAAACTGGCAATCTGCTACAGGAATCTGAATTCTTCACCTGAGGTTTTACACACACAGGACAAGAACGGAGAGGAGAATCTCTTTCTGAGGTGAATTATGGGTTACTAATTCCGAGTTTAAAAAAAGACCTTAGGCAATTCCAGCAATTGTGAACCAAAAGACAGTTCCAAAGTGTGTGTGTGACAGACTCACCTGCAGCCAAAGGGTCTGACAGCACTGTACAGGGTGTAGGCGTGCACATACATGGCCACTCTGTCCGCAAGGTGCTGCGTGGGAAAAGGGAAAACAAACACTGGAAACCCTGATTTACAGGAATCAAACCTCAAGTAATAACACTGAATTCTCTGTGTCGAGACTAAAAGCCAAAAAACCTGAGAATTCCTTACCTTCAGAGGAATATCATAGCCATAGTTGGATCTAAAGTTGGAAGCCTCTTCCCTGGCGATGTCTGCCAAGGAGCGGGCGTCTGCCAGCAGCCCTGCCACTGCCTGCAAGGAGAATTCATCAGCCAGGCCTGACACACCTTTAATTCCCACTGGAATTAATTACTAGCACTGAATTCAAAATTCATCTTCATCTGCCATCAAGCTCAAAACGTGTCAATGTGGTTATATATTAACACAGAACAGTTTTTTCTCTAGGAAAATCAATAGCCAAAGTTATCTTCATGTTAAGTGGTGTCATGATTTGCCATGGCTACACTAACCCAATCAATACTTCATATCATGTATATCCAACATGTTTCACATTTCTGTCACACAGTAACCACTACCTGACATCATCCTGTCATCACTATTATGGATTAGCCATCCATACACTGGTATTTAAAGAATTCAGGCAATTCCCACATGTTTGAGAATCCTGTATGCAGCACTTAACACACCTTATTTGTTAACTGAGTAGAAAAGTACCATTTTAACACTTGTGTTTATATTGTCATTCAACTGGAATGCTGAAAAGCATTTCAAAAAAAGTTAAAACAGCCTCAAAATATGTCAATCCTCTGTTACAAATCTGGCTTTTATTTATGCATGTTTGTGTGCAATCGAGAATAAATTACAGAAAACAGTAAAAAACCCACTGGCATTTTTTGCACACAGAAACATTATCATTACTTTATTAATCTACTTATTATTGATTCTCTGATTCATAGATTTCTCATTTTGAGGGGGGGGTCCCTTGGAATTTATGGAAACCCAAAATGAAATGGCCCCTTACCATCCCAACGTGTCGGTCGACATTGAAGAGACGTTTATTGGAACCCTCCTCATAAAGCTTGGACAGAACTAGTTTTTCTACTCCAAAGACAACACCATCTTTGCATCTTATCCCAATTGCTGTACTGGAAGACAAGATAAATGTCAGTTCCTCACAGAGAACCGCAGTGGAAAATAAATAACAGAGAATTAACAAGACACCACAAACAATCGCATGATTTCCACAGAAGTAAAGTTGTTACAACTCCACTTTAGAAGTGAAGACAACAAGGGGGGGGAAGAAGCCAACACTCACCAAACCTTTATTTTCTCAAACAAAGGAGGGAGCTGCCAAAAATTCCCAACCCAACATTTTTGGATAGAGTGGGGGAATTGTTTGGAGCAACAGTCAAGCCACTGCCACACTCTGCTGAGTGACACTGGAGTGAAATTCATGGACTGTTCACCCTCTCCTTTTGGCAAATTCCCTGTTGATCTAGGAGATGGGACAACTCTTTCTCTAACCCTCAAAAAGTGCCTCATCAGGCATAAACTACCAACCATGGCAACCACAAAACACCTGGCTAACCAAGGAACAGGTTGATCGGAACACGTTGCCCAGGGAAGCTGTGGCTGCCCCATCCTTGGAAGTGTTCAAGGCCGGGTTGGCCAGGGCTTGGAGCAACCTGGGACAGTGGAAGGTGTCCCTGCCCATGGCAGAGGGTTGGAATGAGATGATCTTTAAGGTCCCTTCCAAGCCAAACTATTCTGTGATTTATCCTTATCTGGAGCCTGTGGCTACGAGCAGACACCGGGGTGATCCAGCTGTGCCTTGCCAATCACTCATCTCACTGGGATTTTCCCTTCACAGCATTCCTCTGCACAAACTCCAGGGAAGACAGATATTCCCAGAGGAGCTGATGTAGCTTCAGCAGAACTTGGATGTCCTCCATTTCTTGAGGAATCCCTAGGAAGTTATTACACATGGAGGACCTGAGCATGTTTCAGTGCCTCAATTCACATCCGGAAAATGGGCTTTTAGATCAGAACTAATTTTAACATCATAATTCTACCTGCAACACCATTATGTTTCTGTAGTCCAACGACACTGCTTTAAAAGAGGCCAGCAAACAGAGAGAGGTGCAGATATTTGTATCTTACCTGCTGTTCTCCACTGCTTTCATAGCATATTCCACCTGAAACACTCTGCCATCTGGAGAAAATGTGGAAGCTGACAGGTCGTACTGGAGGAGAAAACACAATGCTCAGGGAAAAAAACCAAACACATCATACCCCAGTGTTTAAAGATCGAGTCTCCTTATTTAAAAATGCAGGGCTGTCACTGACAGCCTGTGCACTCCCAGGAGCAGGGTGGGACATACAGAAACAGGAGAAAACAGAGCCTAAAAGCCAGGAGAGGCCATTTCATCAGTGCTGGGTGAAACTGCAAATCCCATCAATCCAGATGCTGAACGGGTCTGAAATCACTGTGCATTACACAATCTATCAGACTTATGGGAACTTTCTGTCCGCCTTCACATTTCATAGAATCCCAGACTGGCTTGGGTTGGAAGACACCTTAAAGCCCACCTCATTCCACCTCTGCCATGGGCAGGGACACCTTCTACTACCCCAGGTTGCTCCAAGCTCTGTCCAGCCTGGCCTTGGATACTTCCAGGGATGGGGAAGCCGCAGTTTCTCTGGGCAAACCTGTGCCAGGGCCTTACCACCCTCACAGGGAAGAATTTCTTCCCAATATCCAGCCTAAATTCAATTTCCAATACCCAACCTCTTCCACTTTCCACCCATCACTCCTTGTGCTCTCACTACAACTCCCGACCAAGAGCCCCTCTCCGGCCTCCCCGCGGGCCCCCGTCTATTTTACAATTCCTGACAGCAGGAACACATTTGAAGTGCACAAACGCATATTATGCACAGAAGTATAATAAGTGTTTTATCCCCGCCCCGCCCCCGCCGCCGGTTCCCGGGGCCTCACGGGCCGCAGTGACTCAGCCCTCCCGCAGCGCCCCGCGGCCGCCCCCCTCGCCCTCACCCCGGCGCAGGGCGGCCCCGGGAGCGGTGGGGGCCGGTCCCGGCGGGCAGTGCAGCCGCGCTATCCCGGCGATCCCGCGCTCCCGGCGCGATCCCGGCGCACTCACCCCGGTGCCGATGGAGCTCATGGCGGCGCCGCTCCCAGCCCGGCCCGGCTCGCGCGCACCGCGCAGCAACGCGCACGCGCATTGGGCGCCGAGCGGCGGCCCCCGGGTGTGACGTCACGCGCCATGCGCTGAAGGGCCCTTCCTGTGTCGCACACTTCCAGTGCCCGGCTAGCTCAGTCGGTAGAGCATGGGACTCTTAATCCCAGGGTCGTGGGTTCGAGCCCCACGTTGGGCGCATTAATTTTGTGCCCTCTCCCACCGATTCCCTTTCGGAGCGCTCCCGGCGGGAAACCGCCCGCTTCACGTTGGGCGCAGCAGTTTTGTGCCCCTCACCCGTTTGGAGGCATCCCGGCGGGAAAACACCGCCCCACCATCCCTGAGGGGGATTCACCGCCCGCTCCGCCTTGGGCCCAGCGCTTTTGTGCCCCTCGCTCTTTAGGAGCGCTCCCGGCGGGAAAGTGCCGCCTCACCACCCTCTCCCAACATCCCTGAGGGGGATTCACAGCCTGCTCCAGGTTGGGAGCATTACTTTTGTTCCCCTCGTTCTTTTGGAGCGCTCCCGGCTGGAAAATACCGGCTCGCCACCCTCTCCCACCATCCCTGAGGGGGATTCACCGCCAGCGCTCCGGAGAACCGGGAGGCTCCTGAGGGAATCCCGCAAATACAGCCTGTGGAAGTGATTAATACACTGTTATCCCCGAGAAAATTAGTTTTTATAAGTGAGCTGGGTGCAGCAGTGACGCGTACATAGTAAAGTAGGAGCTGGGATAATCTTGGCACTGAACGCTGCATGCCTGCAAAAAATCGCTCTTTTTAATAAATGGTTTTGATGCAGGAATGACACGCACGTAATAAAGCAGGAGCTGTGCTAATCCTGGCACCGGCTACTAAACATTGCATCCCTGAAAAAAATTGCTTTATTTAATAAATGATCAGGATGCAGGAATCGGAGAAATTAATACGTTAATGAAGTAGGAGCCGTGGACGCCCTCGAGGGCAGGGAGGAATTACAGAGACACCTGGACAACCTGGAGAGCTGGGAAAGAAAAGGCCCAGGGAAATTTAATAAGAGCCAGGGTGGGATCCTCCGCCTGGAATGGGGTAACCCTGGTTACACACAAACCGGGGGAGGAGGAGCTAAAGAACAGCCACACGGAAAGGGATCTGGGGTTTTATAGTAGGAATAAATTCTCCCCTGTGAGGATGCTGAGGCCCTGGCACAGGTTGCCAGAGAAGCTGTGGCTGTCCCATCCCTGGAAGTGTTCAAGGCCAGGTTGGATGGGGCTTGGAGCAACCTGGGATAGTGGAAGGTGTCCCTGCCCATGGAAGGGGGATTGAAACTGGATGGCCTTTTAGGTCCCTTCCAAAACAAACCATTCTGGTACTCTGTGGTTTGGGTTGGTCCATCACTGGAACAGACTCTGCAGGGAAGTGCTCAGGACACCGAGCCTGTCAGAGCTCAAGGAGCTCTGGATGATGCTCTCAGCCACACGATTTAGTTTAAGTAGTCCTGCAGGGACCTGGACTTTTGGGGACTTATGACTCATGGTATTACGATCCTTATGGGGTCCCTTCCAACTTAAGATATTCCCTAATTCTATGAAAAGGGAGAGGAAGGGAACGAGGTAAAGCCCCTTCTCCCAAGGACCAGCTCCCACTGACACAGCACAGACACAGGCAGACATAACAGGCTCGCGAATATTATAAAATATTCTTCCTGTCAGCAGGACTCAGCTGGAGCTGTTTGCAGTTGGTTAACACCCATCTTATGGAATGGCATCCAGTCCAGAACCAGGAACTTTAGAGGAAAATCCTCCAGTTACTGCAGAGGTTTGTGTCTGCCACTGTCCTTCAGGATAAATCATGTGTGCTCACTGTGCATTTGCTGCAAAGATCCATGGATCTCTGCCGTGCCAGGGAGGGAAGAACTACAACAGTCAGGCTGTAAAAAACCAGCCAACCCCCTCTCTACACGATTACACATTTAGGGTGTGATCTCCAAGGGCTTCCCAGGGCAAGCCATTAATAGTCTTTCTCACCCCTCCCATGAACTAAGAATCGTGTTTATGTCCTTAACAGGTCCCAGGACTCTGCGCTTCAGCCCAGCAGTAACACAGGAGTCAGGAATTCTGGTCCTGCCAGAAACAGCAGCTGTTGGAGCTGTTCAGTGATGCAGAAACCCCACAGGAGAGGATTTGTGTGGGCAGAACGAAGACAAGGTCGCAGAACACGCCAGGAGAGTTCCAGGGTACATGTGCACAGCAGCACAGGAATATCCTGAAAAAGGCTAAGAATATCCTGAATTTCCTCAGCTGCAGTCTGCTGCAGTTCAGGAAAATGACATCATTGCACCACCACGACCACGGGCTCCATAGGAGTTTCATCCTTCCCTCTGAGAACCTTACGGACACGAGTAATCCCTCCCAGCTCCACAGGGCTTGTGCTGATGGAAAACTCTCCTCTCGGGAGCAAGCCTTGCTAAGCTCTGGCTCAGTTCTTATTGAGGTAAAACAGGACCAGGGTCACAGAGGTGCAGCCCAAATTATTCAAATTATAACAGAAAATGAGCAGCAGAGCCTGGGCCTGTGTGTTCTGTACACCTCAGGCTGGCTCTGCGTCTGGAACTGGGACAGCGCCCATTTATCCAGCCTGGAATTCCACGAGAACAGGGTCTCTAAAAAACCAACCTCATCCCAGGACTATAAAACAACTTCTCACAGCTACACCTGTTTTTCCATGCTTTCTCTGTAACAGCCATGCAGCTCATCCGAAGTGGGAAGAAGGCAATTCAAAAACACAGCTTCTGCCAGCACCTCTGGGGAGAAATCATTGGCAGCACTCCGAGACCTCTGTCACCAACCAGCAAAGTCTCACCTAACACAGACTCTAACACTTGAAACAGCAGTTCCTGGGTTTTGTGGCTTTTTTCATTTGAAAACCATTAAATTAAAAGGGAGCATCTCCTCCCATGTGCCAACTAACACCATGTGTTAAGGCAAAGCACGTATGAAACAGAACGGCAAGTGAGCCAGTGAGTCAACTTTGCCCTCACACCCCTGTTTACAATCAATTTGCAATAATTTATTACAGTTTATAATTCTGAAATCTTTCTTGGAGGAGAGATACCGGAAGAGTTTTCAGCTCAGCATTACATCAGAACTACAGGCACAAGAGTTCTCTGCTGAAACTCTCAAAACAGGATGGTGTCCAGGGGAAATAATGTCCCACCACCTTTGCTGAACAGCCCCAAACCATTTCCTCACAGGTGATTCGAGGGTGGAATATTTTAATGCAGGACTTGGCAGAAAAAAACCCTTCCATACATATTTTCCTTCCATGGATATTTCCCCTCCTTCTTCTAAGCATATTTTAAAATTAAAATCTCTCAAAACAAATTCTCTCAGCAGTGCCATTTACTATACAGATAAATAACAAACAACTCAGGAGGGTACAACTCATGACAGTGCAGAATTTCTTCAGAACAAGACAAAAAAACACAGGAGTTGCCAGAATGAAGTTCTTAAACTATAACTGGACATGTTTTTAAATAGTGTTAGTGCCTACACTCCCTGAAAACATCCAGGTTGCTGATATTTAATAGTGTTACACACAAAGTACTTCATAAAAAAACAAAACCCAATGCACATGTATCTGAAATGGTGCAGAATCCTTGTGCAACGTGCAGGTGCTTATTTCTCTGTAGAAAAAGCCCTTTTCATCAATGGTGGGGGTGCTTTTCCAACGTCAAACATCATTTCCAGAGGAGGATTGTTCAGGCAGCACCAGTCGGGAATGCGGCCTGTCTGGCTGTAATATTCCTTGGACACGGATCGGCTCCCAAGTATGTCCTGGAGTGCTCCAAAAATGGCTCCTGCATTATTGGGAAGGAAGAAAAAAACCTGCATTAATTTGATGTACTGAATTTCATTTTCTAATTCTTCCCATCCAGAATCTCAACTGGTTGGGCTTTTTCAGCTCTGTCCCACAAATTAAAGGCTTTCCTTTTTTCCTTTTCAGTAGCCCAGCTAATCCCAAACTGCTTCCATTTATGTCCCTTGAAAGTAACTGAAAACAAAGAATCATCTACTCTCTGCTGACAGCAAACCCGGCCTGGTTAACCAACTTCTTATGACAAAGCTTCCTAAAAGTTTTTATTTTAAGCACTTCAACCAAACCCCCTTTGTAAGGGGTTGTTCAAGGCAATTTCCTCTCCTCAAAAAGTTATCCCACAAGTTCACACAAGCTGTGAGAAGGTCCAGCCCGTGGCAGCTGACCAGAGCTGCCAGGGAAGAAAAGCATCAAGAACTTGGTGCCTAGAAACTGTCCTGGTTTGCTAATCCTAAAAATAAGAGGTTTGAAAACTAAAAGTTTATGGTGTTAGTTACTGGCACTTGTGACCAGCACAGGGAGTTGGCAGCCTTTCCATAGCTCCTCCAGCAGTGATTAACTTGATTTTTCCACAAGTAGGAATCTCTGCTCTGCCTCTTAGTATGGAGGTAGCTCTGTCCTGCACCTGAGCCAGCACCTCACCTTTCACCTGTTTCCAACTGCTCCTCACCTGTTTAAAAGCTCCCATAACCCTCAGTGCCCTCCAAATATCCCTGAGGGAGCTTTACTCCACACACTAACAATTCCCCAGAGCTCACTGCAGCTCGATGTCAACACTTCACCTCATTTGTCCTGCTGTTTGTTCATCACAAATCTCACTTGGAAGGTTTGTTTTCACCTTCTCCTCTCAGTTGTTCCCGTTCTTACCTCCCAGCCAGGCCACACAGTTGGGTTTGGCAGGTGGGGTGTGAATCCTGAAGGTTTTGGTGGCCAGTGCTTCCTTGTACTTGGGTTTCTCCACCAGGTACCTGATCTCTGCCATGAGCCTGTGGAGGAATCCCGGGAGCATCGCGGTGCCCCCGATCACCACCAGGTTCTCTGCCAGCTGCTTCCTGGTGTCTATGGGGCACTAATGCAAACAGGGAGACAAAAATAAACACCCCAAAAAAAATAATTTTAACTGGAATTGCCTGAAGTGCATTCAGAGGTCTGTTAGACATTCAGTCCATTTCCATGCCCTCCCAATTGCTGTTTTCCCATATTTAACTGGAACATAATCAACATAAGCCAGAGGGAAATGCCTGGAGGTGCAGAGGTGAGGGGTCCAGGCACAGACCTCCTTAAACAATTTGTTTGCATAAGGAATTCTAATTGAAGTGTTTGCCATGTCAGCCCAAGTCCTTGGCTCTCCAATAAATTATGTCTCAGCAAACTTTATTTAAGTGGCATCAATAACTACAGGGAGTCAACTTTAATTAACACACATCCATCACCACATAATGAAAATTTCCATTTACAGTGGTTTTCTAATGCATTTTTTTCCTAAATATAATAAGAACTGCAGTGTTTGTATATGCCAAGAAAATTTTCTGCAATAAATCCAATATGCTGCCTGTAATAAAGATGTCCAAATTAATTTTATTCCAGCTCAGGTAAACGAGCAGCCTGCAGGACTCAAAGTCTTGAGTCATTTATAACTGCAGGATCTCCAAGGCTGGAGGAATTCCATAAATTGTTTAATACAAAGATACCTGAACGAGGGAATCCAAGATCAAAGTGGCAACAGATGTCTCTTCATTATCCTGTTCAAACAGTATCTCCACCACGGAGTCCCTGTGGAACAGGCAGGAAAGTGAGTGTTAACGAGAGGCAAAACCACACTGTGAGCTGAACTCAGGAACAGCAGAGCTGAGATAACTTCAGACTTCCTGCTGCCAGCACATTGTCACCTCTGTCACACAGCCCATGCACTGGGCAGTGCCAAAGGGCAAAGGACAATCATGGAATCCTTAAGATTGGAAAAGACTCCACCACTTCCCTGGGCAGCCTTTCAATGAAGACATTTTCCCTCATCTCCAATCTAAACCTGTCCTGGTGCAACTTGAAGCTGTCTCCTCTCATCCTGTCACTTATTACTGGCAGAAGAGACCAACCCTCACCTGGCTCCACCCTCCTGTCAGGGAATTGTAGACAGTGAAAGGTCTCCCCTGAGCCTCCTTTTCTCCAGGCTAAAATTCCTCATTCATGTCTCTAAATCTGTCTCATCATCAGGCATTAATACCCATTTCTCCTCCCCAACCCCTCCAATCTCCTTGCTCTCACCTTCCTCTCCGAGCTCTGGAGAAGCCACCACCTCCCATGCTGGGCCTGGACTGTGCCCAGCACAAAGCCTTTATTTAACAGGCACTAAAAGCATATGCAAGTGTTTCATTAAAACTCAATTTTATGCAAACTAATGCGCTTTTAGAGTTGAGATATATCCTCATAGTGATCAATACTCTGTTTATGGCATTTCTCACCTGATGGGGCCAACCACATGGAGAATCTTTTCTCCATCCAAAGGATAGTCCACGTCTGGAGGCGGTGAAGGACGCTGGAAATAAAAACACAAGGGCAATATTTTAGAGGCCAAAAAAGGCTCCAGCCACCTCAAAAAGAGTAGGACGAGCTTCATTCTCCACTCACCTCAGCACTGCCATCAATGTTGAACTTGGCTGCCTGGATCTTCAGCCCCCGTTGGAGATCACTCACAAAGCAAGTACGGACTGCACAGAGGGAAAGGGCAAAGTGAGGCCGTGTTGGATCTTTTCATCACCAATAAAGACTAATTTTTTTCAATTTAGAAAACAACACACGATTCAGGCCCTTGCTGGTCCAAGCCATTACCAAACAAATGCAAAGAAAAGCAGTCTCTACACTTCAGCAGAGTTCAGATGGTGTCTGACCGTGAGTTTAAGTGAAGCTGACACCCAAACCACGCCGGGACAGGCAGGATTTCTTTCTCAGCCAAACCACGTAAGATTTAAAGTCAGAGGGATGTTCCTGATGGTGCCTTCAGCCACCACAAGGTGTCAGGGGTTGTACCCTGCTGTCAAACGCTCCACTGCAGGTCTTGCACCACCACTTCAAATGAGACCCTGCTCCTTTCCTGAACAAGCTGCAATCATGGAGTATTTTTCCTGGTGTAACTCCTCAGCACCCTAAGAATTCCAGAGGTTTTTTTTTTTTCCTCCAGGCAACACTGAAAGAGCACAATCTCATGGGTATCCCAGCTGTAACTGTTATTATATACTTATTCATTTGTATCTGGCACAGATAAGCATCTTCATAAACTGCTGTTCCAAAGAAACAACCCCCCGGTACACAGACAACCCTGATTCCATCCCTAGTGTGTTATATCTGCTTCCAAAAGACTGCCTAAAAACCTGGACTGGTCAGAAAACTGTCCTCAAGTCCAGGAATCAGAAAAGCAACTTCCATTTGACAAATTATTTTGCATTTGACCAATGGATTTCTTCCAAATTTGGTCCAAGATATATATCCTAATTGCTATTTTCTAGGTAAATATATATTTTTGTATCTGTTGCACATGAAACATTACACAGGAATTCATGCAAGTTCTGCCCAGAGAAAGACTCTGTTTTTTCTGATATAAATGTAGTCCTTGTCTCATCTTGCCTACCTGATTAACACACCAAAATGTCTTTTATACATCCTTTTTTTTAGTTAACTTTAAAGCAAACTGAGTCTTTCTAGTTAATCTACAAACAAATCTACACAACAGTGCAATCCTCTTTCTGTGCTCATCCACCAAATCCAACTCCAAATTACATCCCAACAACACACAGGCTGAACTGAAAGAGGAATTCAACACACAGTTTTGGTTTTGCTTTCAAAGAGTAAAAACGCCACAGGTTCTTCCAGTAGGTAAGAAATATGGCAAACACAGAAGGGAAATAATTTCCTAAATGTAAAATATTGCAATCTTATTATTATCATACTCTAATGCACAAGTTAATAAACCAGAGCTTCACAAAGCAAAAAAAAAAAATCTTACCTTTTATGTCCTCTACTATGTCTTCTGGAACTGAGCCTGAAATGAAAAAAAAAAAAATTAGATTGCAAGATTTTTTATTTTTAAATAGAAGGAGAATTAAACTAAGTTTGAATTACATTTAATACATTAAATTTTCACTTTCATAGAATCATAGAATCCCAGAATGGTTTGAGTTGGAAAGCACCTCAAAGATCACCTCATTCCAAGGACACCTTCCACTAGACCAGGGTGCTCCAAGCCCCACCCAGCCTGGCCTGGAACACCTCCAAGGATGGGGCAGCTTTTAAAGATTTCCAAGATTTTAAAGATTTCCAAGGAAGAAAGGATATTAAGAAGTGAAATAAGGTGTTTGTCTTGCCTCAAAACTACAAAATTACTACAGAACTTTATCTCAGCCCTTATCCAAAACTGCTGTTACGAGTGGTTTATCCTAAAGATAATATACCTGTTAAATACAAGGAAAGAATTCATCCATGTGGGTGACACAAGAGCCAGTGATTACTAAACTCATTTTATTCACTGTTAGTATCAATCCAGTTTCCCTGGTGCAAGTTCACAGCACATCTGCCACATCCCAGACCTTACCCATCACAGATGGAAGGCTCTGTCCTTTGGCTAATCCTGTATCCACTGTGCACTGCTCCAGCAACTGATACTCCAGCTCCCTAAAACATTGCACAAAGGTAGTTAAAGACAGCCAAGAACTCAGCCTGGTTCTCTGTACTACCCTTAACAGACAATATTTACCCCTTTCAGTCACATCCTTCTAAATACAAACTTCACAAGATGTGATTTCCACAGCTTTTACCACATCAATGAAAGCCAAACAGTGGTAACTCTGAAAACTGGACGATGTTACAGCAAGTTATGATTTAAAAACAAGAATCTCTGCTCATGAATCAAAGATGAACTTTCACAAATAAATAATTTGTGACCTGGAATGGATAATTGTGAACTTACTTGTGGATGGCCCTTCCTCCCAGGGGCAGGGAACCCCAGCAGCTCAGGATCGGAATTCCTTCATAGATCTACAGGAAGATCAGGAAATTCTCCTTTTTTCCTATTATGAGTTTTCAGTCTGCTGGAACTAAATGCTTTTCCCCTTGCATTAGCTGTTAGAAACACTTTCTAACTGCTTTTCTCCAAAACTAATTTCTAGTTTATAAAGGTTGAAGTCATGAACCCCCTTCCCCAGGTTTGAGGGAGCACAGATGCCCCACGTCAGCTGTGAAGGGATTCCCCAAGCTGTGACACCCTACAGCCAAAAGCCAGACTGGTTGAGCTGTTCCTATTAGTGAAGTCTATAAAAATCCCATCTTGTCACAACAGCCTTACTGCTGAAAATTCAAGGATACAGGCAGCACCAAGCTTTCTGCATATCCACAGTCCAGCACCATGGCAGAATTGATCCCAAGGGTCAGGAGAGACATCAGGTGACTCGGAGCAAACAAAACAGATGGAACCTACGTGGAAACCAAAAGGACAGTTGACAGGAGTGGGGAAAAAGAAACAAACCACTCAACTCA